GGCAGCTGGTGCTTGAATGGGGTTGTCAATGGAATGTCTGATGTAATAGTGTTAAACTTTGGAGTATTACAGATGTAGTAGGAGCTCTTCTCCATTGTAAAGCTGAATTTGCATATCAATAAAATGATAGTTTCCTTGCTAAAAAAAAAAAAACTTGAGAAATTTTTTTGCCTTAGCTCACTTTGTTTTTTCAATTGTACTTTGCCCTTGACAACTATCATGGTCTAATAAATCTCATGTTTGGTTATGCTTTTTCGAGATAATAATTAACTATTTAATTTAAGTCTGTTTCTACAATGCATTCGACAAGAGAATAAGAGGAAATGTTTTATAGCAAAACACAAAAGTAGGAAAGATGACCAAAGGCCCAAAAGAAAAGTACCAAAAGAAAAGAGTGAAGAAAAAGATGCAAATTTGTTCGCATGCACTTATCACCTATAGTGATATGTGGAGAGCACATGGAAGGGGGGTCTTCACTATTACAAAATTAAGATGAGGGGTCCCTAACTTTTCTAAAACTACTTGTTATGAGAAAATAGATTGCTGCATCCTTTTGTGTATAATTGAAAATAGGAAGTAATTTTAGTTAGGTGTATAATCATCGTAAATATTCAATTACTATCTATAAGAATGTATGTTAATTTTTAAGTATATATTATAGCATTTGATGAATACTATTAGATTATATGAATTCATGTATAAAAAAAATTAAAAAAATAGAATGGTAGTTGTACGTTTAGAATGTGAACAAATTTAAGAGAATATTGGTTATATTTCTTTAAAAGAAATTAGTAATGGACAGCGTAAAACACTAGTTTAATATATAATTAAATTGTGTTAGAATGGTAGAGGATTAGAAATGAATGATTAGAGAAATTTTAATAATGTACAATTTTGATCTAGAGAGTAGTGGGTTATTCAAATTTGATATGGGATTTGTTTCTAATAATTTTACAATTACATGTACAATAAAAAAAATGCAAAAAAAAAGTGACCAATGTATATTAATACCATATATTAAATCCTAAAATTTTTAATGCAAGTGGCATGCAAAGTTTCAAATTGGGACGTTACACTTACCTTTCAAAGACACAGGTGGTGTATTCCAACAACCATTCGTACGTCTCTCTTTAGTCAATATCAATCAAAAGGTCTTTTTCTTTTAATACAAGAATGGTTCCAATTGATACAGTTGTGTCACAAAGGTGAGAAATTTTTGCGACACTGGAAAAGAACAGTTATCAACTATGAAATGCCAAAAGTTAAGCATTCAAACAAGAATTATTAGAAATATCGCCTGAGAATGGGTCCAACTCCAACCAGCATCGCTATAGTAGTAAATATTTGTCCGGGTTGGGCCGTGAGTTTTTAAGTGTGTGCGTGTGTTGTTTGTGGTCCCTGAGGGCTAAAGCCTTCTCCATCCATGAAAAGTGATTTGGCCATTTCTAGTTTAAATTAGTGCAATTTGGGATCCCTGTTGGAGTCAATAGAAATGATTGCACTTGGGCGATTTCAAATCCAAACCAACCTTTCCAAAAGCAAGTTTATGCCTTCTTTAGTGGAGGGGCCAAAAAAACTGAAAGTAGTTCTTTGTCCAATATTCACACTCTTTTCTTAATTGATGGAATAATATAGATTTAAGTTTAGAGGGATTTAATGACTCTCTTTTTCCTCTGTCATTTTTCCCCCTCTTACAAAATGGCAAAAAAGTAGCCAATTGATGATGGAATGACATAATCTTGTTGGCCCTTTTTTTGGGGGGGGGGGGGAGGTGGGAGATGGAAGGAGTAAGGATTTAAAGTTTCAAAGAATATTGTGAGCTCTTTTATTAAGTCAATTGTGCAAAACTCAAACCAAAAATTGTTTATGATTTGAAAAAAGCTTTATATATTTTTTCCCTTTCTTTCAAGAAGAATCAATAATAGTTCTCCACTTATCCCTCTTAAGAAAGTCATAACTTAATTAGAATCTTTGGAGGGGGGAAGGGGGTGGGGAGAATGCGTTGGATGATACAGAAGAGGGAGCGCGAATGAAAGATACTTGGTTCTAAATCTCTCACTTATACTAACAAAGATTTAATTAGAATTGCATGTGTTGAAAATGAAATAGACATCTAGACGTGATAACCCCTTGACAACTCAGGTGAACCGTCGATTGCAGGTTGTTCGTGTCTAAAGCTAAACTTACGTCTAAAGTGTTTCTAAGATTCTATTTCTGCCAACAGTGGTGCCAACATAGCAATTTTGTAGTAATAATTAAGTCAAGATGGAAGATTCTATCACCACTGAAACCTCAAACCTTTGGGTCACTAATTCATAAGCCGTAAGTTGGGATTCCACATCTACTAAAATAACAAATTTGTAGTAATAATTAAGTCAAGATCGACTATTCTATTTCCACCAAAGCTGCAAATCTTTGGAGACACTAATTTATAGGTTGTAAAATTAGCTCAGGAATGACAACGGGCGCTGCCCCGCTGTCCACTAATTTCCCTGTCCCGCCCCTTGTCCCTGCTCCCCCGCCCCACCCCTGCAGGGCACCCCACGAGACTAATAAAAATTTATTATATAATTTCATCACAGTTAAATTTTAGCAAATAATAAAGTATTAAAATATCAGCATATCATCAAGTTATTATTCATTGTAATTTTACAATTGAAGTTCATAAGAACAATCAAATAAAAGTTATTTAAATGCAATCCAACATGATGAAACAAATACAATTAAAGTAGTCAAGTTTTCACTTTTGACACAAACACAATCATCAAGGCTTTATTGTGTTTTTTTTTTTTTTACAAAAAAAGTATTTTTGTGTTAAGTGTAATTAGTAATTTAGTATAAAATATATTAGTAAATTTAGCATAAAATATATTAGTAAATTTAGCATAACTAATTAATAATTTTTATTAGTAGACGTGTATACTTATTAGTATCAATTACTATAGTACATATACTAATATACATTATATAATACTTATAACTAATAATATCATTATTATAAGTTTATAACTAAGTAAATTAAATATTATATATATAATTATATACATAGATTTATTTATTTAATTTTTTTAACTGGTGGCGAGACAGAGGATGGGCGACTCCCCCGCCCAGTTTCTCCCCATTAGCCTCGCGAGCACCCACTTCAATTGCAATCCCTAATTTGTATTCCCTTACAAAACATTACAGGAGTTCCAGCTCCACATATGATTGTAACCGGCCAGCCTTATTTCACACCGTTCTATTTCTTTAATGTCTAAAATTTCTTTGATATCAAATGAAATAATCACCAACAAATCCACCAATTAGGCAGAAGAGTCCACTTCAATGTTCAACCTACCTTTTTTTTTTTTTTTTTAAACGGGAGGATTCGAACCCGAGACCTCTTGCTTACACTCCCTCCTCCCGTACCACCCAACCCCACCCCCCAATGTTCAACCTACCTATTAAGCAACAAATCAAAGATAAGGTCAAACATTACCAACAGAAAGGTAATACAAAGTCAATAAACTCCTCTTCCTCGATTAACTAGAACCCAAAAAAAAAAAAATGCTCCACGCCACACGTGTCCCATATCCAACCGATTATCTCAACATTTTAAATTGGGATAATTTGAGAAACCTCCCCGTGAGATTTCTATCAGTTTTACTTAACACACTTGAAGTTTTAAATATATCACTTGCCTCCCCTAACTTCAAATTTTTGAAACATTCTCAACCAAATCCAAATTATAAGATTAAAATACACATTTTAGGAAAGAGAAAATAATTTCTTTCCAACAATGCCTTTTTTGTGTTGCCTTACTTTTTTGAACTATAATTATAAGAATCTAATATTAAAAATAAGGACAAAAAATATGAACATACAAATTTTCTAGATGAACAAAATGTAGTAACCGCAATCATAAGTAATATACTTTTTTAAGTACAAACAAATAATAGAAGTTTATTTAACATGTTTTCAAAATGCAAAATAATTTTTTTCTTTAGGATTTGTCTATTTGGTACTCTAAGGTCACATAGTAAGAAATAAACCCGATATGATTGTTATTATTATTTTTTTTGATAAAAGCGTAGATTTCTTTTCACAAAAGTGTTGCAATTCAGGTGTGTTAGCTATGATTTTGAAACTTCAATGTTGGACCTACCTTTATTTAGTTATAAGCTTATCGTGTGCCCTTAGATTACCAAATAAGAAAAATCTTTCTTTTTATTTAAAATATTTTGATTGAATTAAATAATTTTTTATGAAATGTTTAGAATCTTTAATTTTTATTTATCTAGATGAATGGCTTCAAAATTTAGAAGAGGAAGCAAAATTAAAATTACATTTAAAAATTATTTGAGATATTTAGAAGGTAAAAAAAATTATTTTCTACATCTTTACAATATTACAAATAGTTTTTACATGCTTTGTTAATTATTTATAATTTGTCTATTTTAAATTTTGTCTCTAAATTATAAATAAGATTTGGTAAAGGACATCTCAACCCAAAACTTATAAATTTTCATTAAAGAACAAATCTATGAAGTTTTCAACTATCAAGAGATTTTAAATTGATTCATCATTACAACTAAGGAATCACAACAAAAAGGTAACTTTAGAATGAAATAATTTTCTCTTTCCTAAACATAGTACTTTAGTCATATAATTTGAATTTAGATTGAGAATGTTATAAACATTTAAAATTAGGGGAGTTAAACAATATTTTTAAAATTTTAAGGGGTTAAGTGAAATTATCAGAAACCTCAGGTGAGGTTTCCTAAATTATCCCTTTTAAATTAAATTTATGTACGTCAGTTAGTTTTTGCCGTTTACTTTCACCGTCCCAATTTTCCCGGCATTTAGCATATGGCTGACGTGTCAAGTTCCCATTAGCTACCGCAGCTCACGCGGTTCAATGCGTGTTGCAAACGGATCCCAAAGTTCACAAGTGCAAGTTGATAAGCAGACACAAATTTCTTTGCCTTATAACCCATCGTGCCTATATATACCCCTCGTGATCAATTTTTCAAGTGCCCCTGCCTCTCTTCATTTCATTTGACTTTTTCTGAAGGTTGTAGCCTCTGTTTCATCAGCTCTGCAATCATCCTTTTCCATTAGATTCTTGGTAAGTTTTTCTGTTTATTTTCTGCTGAATTCAACAGGGCTCTAACCATTTTAGCATTTCTTCATCTGGGCCTTCTTATTTTTGGCTAACTATATCTTGATTTGCATGTTGGCCATTTTGCAGAAAAGAATTTGCTTCTACCTTCTAGTTACTATCAAGATTCAATTTTTCTGACAAGGGTCCTTGATTTTAGGTGAGCTCGTAGCTGTTCTTTCTGAAAAATTGTGACTTTTTCTTGATGTTTGAAATGTTGGCTTATACGCGGTCTATTTTAAGGAGGCAATTTGTTAATTTTGTGCCTGCAATTTTGCATGTTTTGCCTTTCTGCTGAAAAACCCTGTGTGTATGTTATAGTTGTTTCAAGTTTCATTTTTCCAAGAAGGACCCTTGCTAAGGTGAGTTTTTAATGGCCATTTCTTGAAATTACATTATTTGATGTGGATGATTTCGTCAAGAATTGTTTTTGTTGGTATTGTTGGATGACTTAATTTTGATAAAATTTTGTGGCAAGTGAAGATTTTTGTTGGATTGATGGCGGTGAAGACAAATGGATTTGTTGAAGGGTGTTTGCCTGAGGAATTGTTGAAGTTGCTGTTGACTCTGGCTTCAACTTGGACAGATGTAATTGATGTGAATGCCTTTAAGGTGATTCCACTGACGGGGGCCATGACTAATGAGGTTTACAGGGTAACTTGGCCTACAAAAAGCAAAGATAATACAAGAACTGTTTTGGTTCGTGTTTATGGTGAAGGTGTTGAACTTTTCTTCAACAGGGATGAGGAAATCAGGACTTTTGAGTGTATGTCCATCCATGGTCATGGACCTAGGTTGCTCGGACAGTTTTCTGATGGAAGAGTTGAAGAGTTCATTTATGCTAAGGTTTGTTGAACTTTGTCTAGAGCTACTTTGAAGCTCATACTTTTTTTCCGAGTTTGTAAAGAATTAGAGCTATGACCGGAAATTGTTACAGTTATGATAGCTAATTGAAAGATAATGTTATCTATCTGATGCAAGTCTGATTTTGTTGCTAGTTCTGCACTTTTAAAGATCTGGAAGCCCTACACACCGGTAAAAGACTTTGACACTTGTCAGCAGTATTAAATCTAAAATTTAATGCTAAAATCTAGCATTTTCTATTGGAAAGTGTTTTAAAGCATCTCTGATTGTGTAGATGCTTAAATAGCATCTCTGGACTGCAACCTGATCGCAATAATTATTTGTGCTGTTCTGATGAGCCCAGAAAGATAGATTAGTTTTTGCTTGACTCTAATAGCTGTAGTATGTGGAGCTTTTACCAACCTGGCTCATTATTTTGGCAAAATTGACTAAATAGGAAAAGTGAATAGGTTGGCAGTGACTTAAATTTTCAGGACCTGTATGATTACTGGTTTTTGGAATTACTTTAACTAATTGAGTATCGTAAAGCAGTAGACCGTAGCCTGACACTTTCGTCTTGCTAATCTTTCTTCCTTAAATGATGGTTTGCTGATCTAAGTGCTCTGCTCAATTTCTCTTGGACTTTCAGACTCTATCAGCTGCTGACCTCCGTGACCCTGAAATTTCTGCTCTCATAGCAGCCAAATTGAAAGAATTTCATAAACTTGATATGCCTGGTTCAAAGAACGTTGTGCTGTGGGGCAGAATGAGGTATTACCTGACTACTTAAAATTGCATATAGGGCTTTAGAAAAAGAAGTTCCTCTATTACTGATATTTCTTGTTCCTCAGAAACTGGCTAAGGAAAGCCAAGAGTTTGTGTAACCTAGAACATGTGAAGGAGTTTTGGTTGGAGAAGTTAGAAAAAGAAATTAGCATACTGGAAAAAGAGCTGTCCCAGGATAACCAAGAAATCGCTTTTTGTCACAATGACCTGCAATATGGTAACATAATGATTGATGAAGAGACCAGATCAATTACATTCATCGTAAGTGTCTGCTTTGGTTTCTGCACTATTTTACTTCTTTTTATAGCCAATCTTAGTTTTATTTCGAATTTGGACCCTGTTATTTGTAATTGGGTTTTTCTGAGTTTTTATGTGGTGCTTTGTGGGAAGTCGTCAAGGTTCTTTTCAGGGATATCAATTAAATGAAAATTTTCTTTTAACTGAACGTTAGATGACTGATATCTTGCAAAGAAGTAATTACATGTATGAAGTTAAGTGCAATGAAACTTACCATGCTAATCTTTAAGCTTCGGTATTCATACTTTCTGCTTTGGAGGGTTGGGGGTGTCAGGTTGGAAAGGTAGAGTTGTGTGTTTCGTAGACACTTATCATGACTTGCAAAATTAGCTCTTGCTGCTTCTTCTTACCAGAATATTTTAAGGTTTATTAAGCACAACGGAAGTATGTGAGAATGACTGCAAACAAACTCCAGTGAGAAAGGCCTCTCCTTTATCTTATAGCTTGACTGTTTCCATTTTACAGGACTATGAGTATTCTAGTTACAATCCAATTGCCTATGACATCGCAAATCATTTCTGTGAGATGGTGGCAGATTATCATACCGACACTCCGCATATCTTGGACTACAACAAATACCCCGGTAAGTTAAGGTTAATAAGTGATGATATCGTCAACAGTGTCCACAACTGCAGACGGTGGTTTATTTCTGTAATTCTTCATTTACCGTTTCCATCATGTATGTTAGGAGCAATCTGCAAAGCATGAAGATATTTACTTTGTCATCCTTATTTTCCAAACAGGTCTGGAGGAGCGCCAAAAGTTTGTACGTGAATATCTAAGTTCCGCAGGTTAGTCTAATTTGCTCCTTTCTTATTTGTTCAGTATGACAAATGAGAACTTGGATGTGGAAACTTCTGTTATCTATGTTAATCTGCCTAAACTGTGAAATCTTGTAGAATATGAAGCAAGAGCTTTAAGGTTTAGAAACTAAGAGTTGATAGAAAGCAGTAAAACTCAAAGTTCAGGCTCATGTACCTAACAGGCCAAGTTAAACACATTGGCCTGGTTCCATAGATGGTTTTTACTGCAAACAACAAAATATCAATTGTCAACTTCATAAATTGTGCAAGTAGTAGAAACCCGCCCTTACAATCTCTTGCTTACATAGCCAATTCCTTTTGAATGGATATCCAATTTCCTTCAAGCTACCTAATAGTCAATGACCATGCAGCTCAATATACATGTGTGGGTTAGAGTGACCGACTTTTTAGGTGACAACAATGATAAACAAAATCAATCCTATTTTTCTCCACCTATATACTTATCCGGTCGTAGCATTTTGTCTAACATAATTAATAGACTGAAAGTGACCTGTTAAAAGGTTGATGTACAATTCAATGGTAAGCTTTGATTGTTTCTAGTAATAGCTTGATGAGTCTTTTTTCAAGATAATGACAGCTTTTGACAAGTTCATTGATGATTTTCAGGCCATGAACCTACTGATGCTGAAGTCAAGCAGCTCACCATCAACGTGGAGAAGTACACTCTTGCAAACCATTTGTTCTGGGGATTATGGGGAATCATTTCAGTAAGTATTTTGAAGGGTCTGATTTTGCTGTTTCATTTGCCTGCTTTGACGGAGAAAGATACCAAGTACATGAAAACTTTTTTTTTTTTTTTTGGTTTGGTGTTTGGATTTGCAGGCATATGTCAACAATATTGACTTTGATTACATGGGGTATGCAAGGCAGAGGTTTCAGCAGTACTGGCTCAAGAAAACCAAGATTTTAGATATCCCAGTAGATTCATTATTGTGTGAAACCAATGATTCAGCAGCAGAACTTAAAATTTAGTTTTCCTCTCCTTTCCATTTCCTATAGTTACAAATCTTGTATAGTTTATATGTATTTATAACTGTTGCAATATATCAATGCAACATCTCATCCGGTTGACTTTTTTGTCATGTTGGGTGTGCCCAGAGGGAACACAATTATAGGGAGCATATGGTCAAAACAAGAAGTAATCAATCGAATGGACCATTTGTTATAGCAACTTAATTAAGAGTGTCGGCACAGAAATTTATTCTCCTCCGACTGATAAGCGTGTAAATTTACATAAATGTGCAAAATATCATCCCTCTGAAGGTCCTAGAAGCCGCCAGCCTTGGTCTTGTGCCTTTTCATTTATCACTCTGCAGGGTCAATATCACATTTATCCCCACCGCCGACGAAGAAAACTTTTAGCTGGAATCAGCAACAGAGTCATCATCAGAATCTCTTGCGTATTTTTCTTTTTTCTTCTTTTTCGAATGGATTAATAACCTAATGAAGTACACCGACTACTCGTGGAGTAGTTAGCCACCAAGAGGGGTTTAAAGCTCTACTTGATCAAGAGATAAAATGCACCCGTCCGGATTCTCCTCGAATTTCTTCAGATCCTCCCCTCCCCCTAATATAGCATAAGTATAGGTTTATCGTGTCCGGAAAAAAAAAAAAAAAAAAAAAAGATAACCTAACGAAGTAGGAGTTGGAAGGACAATAATTTAAGTTTGGTCCACCACAAGGATCAAAATATAAATTCTTTGGCGAAAATGAAGCAGGATTCAAGAGGATAGACCAGACATAGAGCGAAGATTTTCAATGATGGAGTCTATAGCAGAATGAGAACCCTTTGTAGCTGCAAACAACAGGTGTTTAGGAGCTTCAGCTCTGTCGAAGTATAATGCTCCTGGTAGTAGTTTTTCTTTTGGCTGCAAAGCTAACCACACCACTGTATCTGCACCTTCCTGGCTCGTTCTAAGTTTTCCAGACATCCTGAAAACATGGGCTATGGAAAGTCACTGAAAAAGAATAATTAACCAGAACAGACAGTGGATCCGTGATAATAACAATACAAGGAGTGGCGCAAAAGTCTTACGATTTTGAGAAACCAGGCAAACTGCTGGCAACTCCAGGAGTCTCTGCCCACCCAGGGTGCATTGAATAGAAAGCAATACCTTTGTCCTTGTAAATTTCAGCCCATTTTTCTGTCAGTGCAACCTGCACAAGAGAAAATACATATCATCATGCTTAAAGGAGCAGTTCTTACTTTTTGTAGCTGCAATCTCTTTCATCTTTGTGTTTGATATTAAAATAACTTTAGATGCAAGAACCGGATTTCATGATACGATGCTCTACACACTCGCTGACTTGCACATAACGCAAAATGCAGAGAGTGAGAGACAGTGTGTGCCTGTTGGGGGGGGGGGGGGAAGGGGGGAAGAAACTGAAATTAGATGGTATTACCTATCAAGGAGAGAGAAAAAGAAAAGGAAAAAAGAAACAGGTTGCACAGGAAAATAAATAATAGTTCAGGCAACCAGCCTGCCTGTGTCATGACCTATTTGCCCAACACAGGGCAAGGTTGTATGCAATAAAATGATCAAAATGTAATAATAAATGTAATTGTAGAATCAAAGCATATGCTGGTATAATCGACATCCTAAAAAGGCAGAGAATGTGATCGAAAAAATCTCCCCATTATAGGGCATACAGTAATACATGCACAGGATATCAGCGGTCACAATGAAACATAAGCAAGGAACTAATGAGATAAAATCAAGCAACATGAATCAGTCACCATTGCAGTTAAATTATAATCAACTGCTTTCTAACCGTTACTAAACTTAGTGAATTCCCTAGTCAGCAAAACCATAGCGACAATGACCCCAAGGTCAAAGTCTAAAACTTGCAGAAAGCAATGAAACAAATCAGTGGATTCATAATTTGGGAATCATATTTCAACAAGAAATAGATGCTATTTTTCAGAATGGAGAATAATAGGGAAGATTGCATTTCATTTGCAAAAACTATTCCGCTGTACCTGAACTCTCTTGTTCCGTGCATATTGTTCCACACCATTAAAATTGTTATTGCTAAACTGCAAAGACAATATATCAGAACATATAGAGGTGTCAATCTTAAGGAGAAGCATTCAGAGTGGTTCCTACCTGTAGATCTTTCATCAAAGGGGCTGTGTACATTCCACCTGAGGATACTGTAATAACACGAGCATCAGGTGCAGCTTTCTCCAGCAAGGGCAGCATCAACTCTGTCAGAGTGTATGTGCCAAGTACATTAACAGCAAAATTGAGCTCATATCTGGAGGCTTAAAACAAACACAAAAATTCTCAGTTCACTGTAGTGATTGCAAGTTCTTTAAAGAAAATTGACAAACAGTATACCCTTCTGGAGTTGTTTCACGCCGATTTTCAATTAAACCAGCATTATTAACCTTCAAAAAGCAAAGTTTTTGGTTAGCATGCATTCAATATGAGAGAGGTCTGAGAACTGAAAACAGTCCAAGTACATAGGAACTTCCAAACAACAGCAGGATTACAGAGGAGGAAAAGGAGATCAATAATTTACCAGAACATGGACAGGGACATCCTTTGAAGAAAATCTGGAAGTAAATGACTTGATTTCGATGATGGAAGAAATATCACAGACCTGCATCAATAATGGATAAGCCACCTATAATAATACAAAACAATGTAATTCTTCATTTAGCATAAAATGCATTGCAAAAACAACTACCTCCAAATAAACATTTTTACTGCCAGTTGCCTCCTGAATTTTTGAAAGGGCAGCTTCACCCCTCTCCTTGTTCCGGCATACCATATACACATTAGCCCCACTGGCCATATATCAGACATTATTAATATTATCACCAAACCATTCCAAAAGTTTCTCAAATTTCAAGAAGAGCAACAAATCATAAAAGATAAAACAAGAACACATGGAGCCAAAATGCGCACCGTGATGCAAGACCCTCAGCAGTAGCATAGCCAATGCCAGAATTTGCACCAGTGACAACACAGTTCTTGCCTTCAATTTTTGTTTGCATATCCTCTGGATTAAATTTCTTTGAATGTTCTCTGAATTCATCAAAACCCCAAAGATTTAATTATCTGCATATATGTCGCTATTACATATAATGCAAGTGCTGAATTTGAAATTTCATATGAATAATGAGATATGATTTGTTCTCCACAAACATAAGGAATACACAAATTTACGGGTGGAGATAGACTAATCAACTGATCAGAAAGTTTTACCGTATAAAATCTCAGAAACACACAAAAACAGATACCATACAGGATAAATTCTCTCTTGACCATAGGTAGGCTCAGTTAATCTTAACTGGCGCTAAGGTTTTTCATATGTTCATTCGAGAATCGAGAAAACTACACATCTAAAACTCAGGACACTGATAAAGGTTTTTTTTTTTTTTTTCGGACTATAACAGAAATCAGTTTATCAGTGGATAATTGGGGAATTGGCAACTTACATGAAACCAGATTTTGTGAAATTCATGTACCCAAATAAGCCAAAAGCTGTTGCTCTCCATGTCTAAAAGGTCAGTGAACAACCAGAGAGAAAACATCAAAAATCTGAATTCTAAACGAATGAAATGGAATTGAAAACAAAGAATAAAAAACCCAGAAAGGAAATTTTGCATACCTTGAGGAGAAACATGGTAAGACAAGAACTTGAAGATAGAAAAGTGGTCTGCAATTTCCCATGATTTGGGATGCCTAAGAAAGAAAAGGGCGTTGCTGAAAATGCTTTGTCAGCCAATCTATGGATTTATTTTCAGCCACGTAGACTTCAGCAGCACGGCTGACTTAAGAAATTGTAAGCCAATTGTTAATACTAAAAAAAGTTTGACATCTATATTCAATAAAGGCAGAGAAAATGGTTTGGTATAAACATTTTATTGTCAGTAGTAGGGTGCAAACGAGTCAAGCTCGAGTCGAGTTTTGGCTAATCGAACCGAGCTCGAGTTAATTTTGTGAAGCTCGATTCGAATTTGAGCTCGTTTCGAGTCGAGTTTTGGCTAATCGAGCCGAGTTCGAATTACTTTTGTGAAGCTCGAACTCGAGCTCGAGTTCGACGAGCTCAAATTCGAGTCGAGCTCGAGCTTAAAAAATAAAAAAATAATTATTATTATTTTATTTTTTAAAAATGAATAAAATAATAATTTTTTTAATAAATAATAAAATATTAGGGATATATGTAATTTTACTATTAAAATAAAAAATAAAAAAAATATATAATTGATCTCGCGAGCCAACGAGTTTAATGTTTTTGAGTTCGAGCTCGAGCTCGAGATCGACTTAATTAGCTCGAGCTCGATATTGACGAGCTCGAGTCGAGCTCGCAATCGGCTCGCACTCGAGCTCGTATTCGAGCTCGCAATCGGCTCGATTCGTGAACACCCCTAGTCATTACTTTCATTCTCATGGAAACTAAGCATTTTATTCAATAATTTTACATTACTTACCTGAACACTTGTGGTTAAGATAACTACCCATAAGCATTTTTTTTAATTTACTATTTAAGCATATTTTTTGTAATGTAACCACCCTTAAGTAACTACCAACATAACAATCATTTTACCAAAATAATTTAGAAAATCAAAATTTTCTTTATCACTAAATATTTGTACATAAAATTCATTCGCTATAAATATTATGTATTTCTTTATTACACACACGTTGAATGAGTGTGCATTTATCACTAGTTTATCTAATAATACGAGTCCACGGGTTTTTTCACACAGGTGAAAATGGCATACCCATGTGCAATAGTACCGAAATTTGATTATTTACTAAAATTTCCTAGTTTATGAAAATTAAATTTTTATGTGTAAAAACTAATTTAAAATATTACATTTACATTGTCTCGACAAATTATTTACATTTCGGAGGCTAAAATATGAATTTTGTGCCTAATATATGTTTCCTTTTTACACTAAATAAATAATTATAGTTGTTACTATGGCCATGGTCAGTTAACATCTAAATCGGTTTTTTGGTGATTCTGTAATGAATAATAATTTTTCCGTACAAATGGCACAATTAAGAGAGAATTTTTTTTTTGGCACCAAAAGGTTACAACATGTGGTGCTTGTTTGGAATTGTCAATTTTTTGCCAAAAAAAAAAACCATATGTATAAAATAATGGAAAGATAATATTGTGCTTATTCAGTTTGATAAAAATATATATATATATATATTCAGCATTGCATCATACGAGAGCCCAAAGGAAAACAAGAAGAAAACGTAAACACTAGAAGATAATATTGGTTAGATGCTCTCGTTGAATATAGAATAGAAGCGCGAGGAAAATCAGGGCACAGTTAATATCTTGTTGAATATAAGCTTTCAATTTCAAAAGAAGTACCACTCTAGTCTTGTACGGACTGGATGCTGGTGTTGTTGTGTTCAGTACAACTGGATCCATCTGATTATTGTACATAGGTAAATTACAAGTTCATAATCTATCAGCCATGGCTGAGAACTAATACCTCACTGGTTCATTTTAAAATCTGGAAATGATGTGACATGCACAATTTTACTTTGGTTTGCAACGAAAGCAACAAAGCCAAGTAATTAGAAAAGAATGACACACACACACACACACACACACACACACACACACACAAAAAAAATCCGTGCCAGTGAAAAGTTTGCCTTAGATTTTAAGTTTTAGCAGCAGCAGAATATAGCAAGTACATTCTACTCATGATTATGCTTTGTACAACAGCAACAAAAATTGCCAAAGGAAATCCAAGAGCAGACAGTCAAAATCAGGGTTTCTAGCAGAGACCAGGATTGTCTCAAAACCTATGCGTATGATTTCTCAAGAGGTATGACACTGGAGCTGCAGAATCACATCTACTTGCTAAGAAACTAAGAAAAGACTGATCACTCTGCATAGAGGTTAATATTGACATAGAATGGGAAGACTTGAAAAGACAACAAGAATATACAGACAAACATGTGACCTCTAACTTTACAGTTAAAAGAATCAAAAGAATATGGTATATACGTAGCTTATGATAGCTGACTAGGGAGTTACATAACTCATCAACCTCCATTGCACCTTATTCTCATCGCCCCCAGTAAGAGATATCCTGCATTGGTAAATACAACCATGAGAAGGAAAACAGAAAACAATTTGCCAGCGCCAGAGCATGCATTGATGGCACGACTTGCTTATATACAGACAGACTACAGTTGCCAGAATTAGGAAAGGAAGTTTCTTGTGCAAATTGGCATATCATTCGAATAAAACTGAAGAAAAGAGCAGTTAATAGCATTATTTGGTAATGAGTACAGATCCAAAGTACAAATCCAACGTGATGACTTTTTAAGAGGACAAACATCAGAATGATACAAAAATGGGTGAAACTAGAGAAACAAATGTGGAATAAGCCCAGACCATCATGCCTGTGAAAGAAAAAGATATATAGAGAAATATAATTATACAATCAGGTTCTTCTATGTTACTCTCTTTACAGAGTAAAAGATTTCAATTGAGGATGCAATGCAATAAGGCGTCATAGTAGAGAGATAACTGGGTCAATAATCCTGGTCATGTGTTGGGCTTACTGGAACAGAAACATGCCCACATGGGATAAATAAATACTTTACTTTCTCTTTTATTAGCTTAAGATATTTGATGGGGATAGTCAATAATAAATCATATAGGATGTGCAGCAGTACTTACCTCTCCCAACATTAGTCTGCTCATTCCTCTATCAACACTCCTATCTGAGATTATGGGCTCTTCTTCAATTTCTGCATCAGTGAAAGTGAGGGCACGTTGCAATTTCTTTGGAGAAAATACCTCCACTTCAACCATGTAAGAGGCAGTTACAGGCCGGTGATCTGAAAACTTAATCTCATTCCTTCTATAGCTTATTAACCTCATGCCCTTTCCAAATGAGAGTACTCGGTCACACCTGGAGAAGCCAATATAGGAAAGTCAAAGGTTGAAGAATGAATTAATCCAGAGAAGTTTGCGCAATGGTTTCAGTCTACATGTTAAAGCCAGGTTAAGGATAGGAGGTCAATATATCCAAGCTAGCCTCAAGAGTATGTACTACATAGTTGTTGACCAAGGCAAGGAACTTGAAACTTACAAGCTAGTGAAGCTTGGAGCTAACTGCTGCATGATCTTTGACAATTCACACACAAACAATGAAAACTTTAAAAAGATGTGACACTCTATGTGAGCAAGTGAAAAATATGCGTGCTCACATTACTTAATAGGATAAACTTTCTTCTAAAAGGTCTTTTGTTATTTAGACACATTTTTTAACAAAGAGAAGTCATACACACTGGTAAAAATAAGCATGTTGACCAAAGCTGAATTTGGCAGGAAAATGTGAATTATCTACTTATATGCTTTTTCCCCAAACAGAAATGATGTGTATCCAGCTGATTGATGTGATATCTCCCTTTTATTCTAGGTGCTATGCTATATCCATGTCTCATCCTATCATGAACATTCCTGATATATTTATTTTGACACAAACAATTTTCTATTAATCAAATTGATTATTGCTTCTATAATGAGACAATGATCCGGCCCTGTAACTCTTTATGAAATTCCTTCTCCCAAATTGGCAATTAAATCATTTGCAGACCAATAAAGCCAGCATGTCATGCTGTTGCAATGCATTGCAGTTGTTTTTGAGCACTTCTATGGCACTTAAAAAAGGTGTTATTGAGAAAAGGATTTACTGCAGAGCACATAAAAGACCCAACTGTGGTATATCATCATCCCAAATTCATCTTTCTTTTATGTTTACCCCATGTCCATAGCCATGCTTATTAAAAGGACGAGAAGGTGAAAATTAAAAAGAAAAGAACAGGAGACAGATTAAATGGATACACAACCCTCTGCATCTTATCCTCCAAGGATACGGTGTCTAAACAGGGATAGATATTAATTTAATGAAAAATTGCCTGATGATCAGCTAAACAATGTAACACCTGTAAGTGGTGCACTGAGTGCATCTGTTATCAGAAGAAGAGGACATATCTAACTGGAAGCAATTAATATCAATGAATTACAACCAGAAAAAAAATTCTTTGTAAAAGTAGAACCAAAGCAATTAGATAGACAGAACTTTAAGTGCATACCATGCAGGAGTACGTCTTCCTTTTGGATCGTCGCCAATGTACTTTTCTGAATTGATCTCATATTTATAAGTTGGTGCAAAAGTCAGGATACCTTCTGACCATCCATCAAATGCACGACCTTTCCTCAGCTCTTTGATAAGCTGCCAAAAGATGAAGATGTAAATGGTTAAAACATATACTGACTGATAAAGTGACACAGGATTCTATTGGTGTTGCAACTGACTATCTTGTGAGTCAACCTACACCTAAAGTTATGCTATTGAACTTATTAACATTGCTCTTAAAGATAGTGATCCATTCATCTATCACAATTTACTAACGGAAATCCCTCCTAACTCTTCTTTCCCTTCAGCCATAACAAAGTGACGCTGTAGAATTGTCAGTTTTCACCAATACCACAGACCTCAAAGCAATAGATATTATTCTTCTTTTCCTTGGATTACTACAAGAAGTGGACAATAGATGATAAAGTAAATGACCCAAATTTCTCATTAAGACACACAAAGCACCAGCTTTAGTTAAAGTTTATGTCTCTTCTATTGAAGATATAGTATCCTAAATGTCAATATTGTTTAAATCATAAGTAAGGTATAAGCATAATTCAAAAAGATACATATATGTATATATATATCCATATTAATCACAGGCAAAATCATATCGTTATGCAAGGGATGGAACATCCA